GTTTTCTTGCTGCGGTGCGTGCGAACCAAACTCAGCCTGTTGACAAAACAGTAATCCATATCGCACAAACTCTTACACCGATCAAATTACATCTGCGAGATAAACTCAAAGATTTGAGAAGTTTCTCTCTGGATTTTTTTTTCCAGAATAAAAGGAACCAGCCAGTTTCACAATTAAAAAAGAAAAAAAAACTTTGACAGTTGGCAGTTTCAGCTTGACTCTTTCCACTGTGTAATTTTCTGGATAGTGTGAGAGACGCTACACTGCCAAAGCTGCAATGATTATGTCTTCATATTTTTTTTAATGCCAGAAGTGCATTGCACAATGTTGCATAATCTTCATTTAAAAAAGGTGCTGATTTCTTGTGACTTTTTGCTTTGTCCCAAAAGCAAGTGTTTGCACTAAATAGATTAAATCACATAGCACGAAGCTTAGCTCCTTTCACATTAATTATGAGTTCCAGCTTAAATACAGTGGAGTGTAAAAAAAAAAAAAAAAAAAGTATTTCTTTTCCTTGCTTTGATCTAAAATTTTCAGGTAAATCTGCCAAATCAAACTTGTCAAAGTCACTGCCTAAAGAGAAACAAAACAAAGCGCTTTGCATGCAGAAGCTGAACACTGTTGAATCTGATGACAGTGACGTCTGTCAATATGAACCGAGAGCTTCACAGGAATTAGCACTTGAGTGGAATCTCATGAAAGGAAGCTTTAGCTTTCAGTTACAAATCACTAGCAGGTGATTTAAAAAAAAGTCTCTGTGGAATTACAATAATGTTCCTGGTTTATTTTTATTTTTTTAATCGTACATTATTAAAGTAAGGTTTGTGCATTTATGTGTAAGGCTGTGTAAACTTTGTAGTAAGAAAATTAGACGCAAGACAAACTGTGTGACGTGTACCAAAACTATAACTAATATTGGGCTTTCTATGTAGGTCAGAGAAAAGAGGAAAAACACTGAATCCTGACTTAAAATAATAACAGAACAACGGCAAGTGCACCAGTCAGTTATCTATCAGCGTATGCTCCGCTGTCAAAGATATGTCTGCCGTGGACAGAAATCAAAGCTAGTTATATGTAAACTATGATAAAGCAAGGCACTGAAGCTTGAAATTCCTTCAACTGTGAAAGTCATTTCCCTTGAAAAATCCCCCTCCGCTTCATCTGTCACAAAATGCAGAAAACAAGAGAAATCTTACAGTCGCAGGACGCAAGTAACGCCTGTTTTTAGTGTGCACATCTGTTTTCCCTTCTTTTCTGTCTTAGTGTCATTAGTGGCCTTATGATTGGAGGGGAAATGCTGTTCTCACGTTGATGAAATTATAAAAACTAGGAGGTCGACTGCAGTTAGCTGTATTTAACAGCAGGGTTTCTCCAGGGCGATATTCATATGGACTTGAAGGAAAGTACTGGGTTGATTACCGTAGCTAAACCCCTGCACTTAGGCGCAGATTTAGCAAATGGAAAATCTGCTGACATTTTGTGTGGCGTGTGTACACAGTGACGCGGGTGAAGATGTTTTTATTTGATTCAAGGTCATTTGGCTTTGCTCAGGTTGGGGTGACATTTGCTTGTGATCTCATTCTTCATGGAGAGATGCATCACCGTGGAGCTGAGAGTTGTTTCTCCACTTTTCCTGGCACAAATGACTCCTCATTCCCAGAAAAGGAACATGCTATCTCTCTCTCCTCTCTTTCTCTCTCTATCGGCCACACACTGACAACATGTGCACACAGACTGCATCTCCTCAGTGAATGACAGTGTGAATGTACCTCATCAACGAATGAGTCACTCTACTACTCTGCTATTATGATGATTTCTCCCTTCTGTGTATTACATCATGCAACAGAGGGTTCTGCTCAGTTACATTCGCCACAATAAACACTCTCTGAGTGCACTCATTTAGACTGTGTGGGGATTTCAGTCAACCTTGCATGGAAAACATTTATTTGATCATCCAAATCACTTTTGGGGTAAGTTTTGTGTACAAGTAAAAGCACAGGATTTCCTTAAGCTGACACCGGGATGGATGAGAACACCTGTAACATCCTTTTCTGTAGGTGTCTCTGGCACTGAAGGTCATGCATTGATGGATGTGGATTCCCATATACCGTAAGCTCTATAGTGAGGCTTTCAGAATATCTCTGATAAACCTTTATTGGTAAGAGATAGCAATCAATAACAGCGCTCACGTGGCGTAACTGCTGAATTTTTATGCCAGCCAGGGAATATGAGTGTTACTTGAGGTGCACACACAGATATTCTACATATAGCAGCCAAAAATTGGTCCCTTGTGCTTTAATCGCACAGGCGGTTCAAATCATTGACTTTTCAAATCATTACATCTCACACAGCATTGTGCTCAAGACCACTGATGTATTGAAAGGATGCTACAAAGAGAGGATCCTGCACGGATGGGAAGAGTAATTACTGTCCGGTTGCAGGGTTCTTACATTAATCCAAAACAAAAGATTAAATTAAACTCAACTGTTATAGCAGTGCAAGATAATCGGAGGCAGGGAGGAACAATAGCGCTCGATTCACTTCATACAGCAGAACATTGTCTTAATTTAATTTATTGGGTGTTTATTTAATACTTATTATGTAGGACACAACAATAAGTGAGGACTAATTCAATTGCATAAAAAGACATCCTTAGGCCACTTTTCTTGTGTGTGAACACTATTTTAAGCTCCATTTATGGTGTTCAAATTAAACATCTCAGAGTTGCTGGAAGCTTCTCGTGTTAATGGAATCCCACATAGCGGATTGTGTGGGGAAGAGAGCAATCTGTATTCCCTGAATGTGTCTGGGCGAAAATCAATAAATGCAAGCACAGCTCCTCGCTTGTGATGGCTGTCCCTGTCTTTGCATGCTGGACTAATAGAAAAATAATAATTAAATTTAAATCACCAGATTAATTTGTTTTCCATCAGTCTCAGGAGAGATCCTTTTTTTTTCCTGTTTCTTTAGTGGCTCATTATACTTTCTAATCAAGACAAAAAAAAAAAAAGTCCCTCTTTTAGACAGACATGCTGTCTCCCTTCCCCCTTCTCTTCCCTGTGGTGTGCTTTCTCGCATTGCAGTCATTGTGCTGGCACTTATTATGTTACAAATGACCGAGGTACGGCAGGCATTCTCAGTGTGCATGCAAAGAGGGCCCACCCTTCTATGCTACTAGCGCCTTCTCCTAATGACGATGCTCAGAGTGCCCCCCCACTCACCCACCCACCACCAGCACACACGCCACCCCACCCCCCAGCCCACCATTCCCGCCCCCATGTGCTCTCTTTAATGAAGATTCTCCAATGCAATTAAAAATCCTTGCTTCTTGCTGCTACTGTATGACAAACACAGCCACTGTCATTCCTCATGGCCTGTCATTCCTGCTACAGGAGGCGGAGGAGATGGAGAAATACACCAGGGTGCCAGTGGCTAGAGAGACAGATAGAGAGGATTTTGAGAGTGTGTTTGTGTGTGTGTTTGAAGAAGAGCCCCCCCCCCCCAATCTCAACAGGTAATGGAAAGGGGCAGAGAGAAAAAAAATCAATGACCAAAGAACATGGAGAGCACGCTTATGAAATGGCTTTAACTGCACACCACAAGCTGAATAAGGGGTTCTGTGTCCATCCTCCAAAAACTCGAGTGAATGCCGTATCGGATCTTCCACCTGAACACCACCTCACCTTTCTTTTTTCTCTCTTTTAATATTACACCTAAAAATGACTGACTTCTGAGTAACATCTTTGCAATTCTTGCAATAGCATCAAAAACACTGGGGTGACACTTTTAGACGCTGTGACATAAGAACAGAGAGGAGAAAGACGGAGGGGGTGGGGGAGAGAGGAAGAAAGGGAGAGAGAAAGAGAGAGAGAGCGAGAGAGGAATCAGGATACATTTATGGTCATTTATAATGTTTATGAAGCATTAATATGAATGTGCCCGTAAACCAATACTCCATCACTCTGCTAACAATGAGTTCATTGTTTGTGTGTGATTTATGAGGTGTCTATAAACTAACAGTGAACAGTTTGTTAATCCACTATAATACCTGTTAAAATGGATACAACCAGTGGTGATGTGACACGCAGCAAGAGAGACAGACCCGCGCACACACATACACACACCAGTCAGCTCTGCTGTGACCCATCCTCATCCTCATCAGGGTGGGGCACATAAGAACAGTTGCCCACTCCATCTGCAAAAAAAAACCTCCCCACCACCACCTCTCCACCCCACCCCCTTGTTGTTTTCCAGTTGAATGAAATAATCTTCCCCCGTCTGGAAACCCAGTCTGGGTCAGAGGGCCTACGTTCAGCCTGTTGCTTATTGTGTGTTTAGAAGAGGATGTAAAGCATACAATTAGGCACAGATGGCTGTCTTTGCCAGGCAATGTATTGATCCAAACCCGATGAAGGGCTGCCCCGTTTTCTGGTTTTGTTTCACAAATGCCTCCCCTAAGTTGGAGCCTTTATGGCTTGTATTTGCTTGTATTTGCTTGATCATGTAACATCTTGTGGGGGCTTAAAGAGAGACAAACAGATAGATCATCTGTAACTATGTTGAATACTGCCTAATCAAGAAAAAACACCCTTTATCATTAGGTTTGGCGATATTCTAAAAGTGCCTACAACTTTAATCATCTTTCACCTTTCAAAATAAATCCACAAATAAGACAAAATGAGAGGATTTAGGCAACTTTTCTTTTAAAAAAAAATCGTAAAATTTAAGATATAATCCAAGTTATAGTAATTAATTAAAATGGTTAAGAATGTATAAAAGTTATTTTATTTTAATTTTTTTAAAGGTTTGTTTATTTCTTACACCATCAGCGGATAAGGCGCTAACAACATCATAAATAAAGTTCCCGCTACATCCCTGTCATGCCGTGGACCTAATGACAATGTCGCATTTAAAGTAATAACGGTCAATTACTGTATCCTTCCTTTACTACGGCCGCTGCACAAATAATAAGTTTTCTTTGTGTGGCAGTAGTGAGCTGACGTCAGGTCGGTTCCTTGAAGTGGAGCTGAATAAACCTTGAGAAGAGTCTCCTTCAATCTGCTGTTAGTAACTAACACACACACTCACACACCGAGACTCAATTACTGCCCAATTCCCTTCTTTATCATTCGTCCCCGACCTCTTTCATAACCAAAACCGACCAAGGAAAAAAAGAGGCGAGAAGAAGACCGAGCCGAAGTGTTAGTTGAACTAAAAAACCACGCTGGAAATAAGTAAAGTGTCGAAACTAAAAAAAGGTAAGTGTTTTATTTTCACTGACGCTGTTTTCGCCCCGTCACAGAGCAGGCGATGAGCTGCGTACGGAGAGAGCTCGCTTGGCTTCGTTTCTAGTTTCTTGGCTTTTTTCAGCTCGTGTAAACTGCTTTATACATACTTTCCTGTTTTCTCGTTGCGGTGTAATTCATTCAGTCCGTGTGTCCCGTAGTCGTTAGCGATACGTTTGGTTAAAGTTTTTTCTCCTTTTTATGAAAAAAACGAAGTGTTTTTTTCCTCCTCTCCTTCTTCGGAGTGTTGACCTGATAGTGGAAATCGTCTTTTGTGTCCCTCTTTTCCCTTTTCTCTCTCGCACCGTTCACTCCGGCGGTCGCAATTTGATAGCGAAATTAAACTTTTTCGAAAGCTTCGTGGTTTTGTTTGTGTTGTTCTTTTTTTCTTTTAATTTATCAACCGTGAAAATGTACAGTTGTTGGCTGTTTTGGCTGCCTATTCAGTGTAGTGGATGTTGTAACCTAAGGGGGGGGGCAACTACGAGGCACTGGACTGCCGTTGGTCCTCGCTAGTCCGTCCGTTAAAAAGCCATCCAGTTTAACAGTCCCCCGACGCGAAAATAAAACAATTAGGCGACAAATACATAAATATCCCCCTTCAGTTTGGATTAACTTGTACGTATAATATTAATTTCTCTTTGTACAGCGGTTCAGAGTTTGAGCTTTTTTTCCCTGTCGTGTCGCTAGTCGTATTGCTGGCCAGCCTGCTGGGGAGCTGTTATCGCGGTCGCTTCCTCAAACCGAGAGGCGTGCAGGCAAGCTAGCAGCCGCTTGGCCGAGTTGTTGAAATTTATCCCTTTGTGTATATTACAATATCCTCCATTTTTTCTGCCCCTTCCAAAACAACAAGCCTCTCGCCATCTTGGTTATTTTAAATTCGTCCACCCCCCCCCCTCTCTCTCTCTCACACACACATACAAACATCCAGGCTACTTTAAAAGGAAATGGACGTTTTTTTCCTCAAGTTTTACCAAAGTTTTAGACTTGGTAGAGGGGGAAAAAACGAGACGGGGGATCGCGTCCCGTGTGTGTTCTTTTATTTTCCTTTTTGAAAGGAAATTAAGGTGGTTGATAGAGTCGCAGACGATCATTTTAAGGCAGTTTTACTTCGATGTTTGGTGCTTTAAAAAAGCAAATACAAAGTGACGTGTGGTTACATGTCAGGATTCTCTTGTTTTGAGACGTAAGTGGAGAGGCTGGTGTTTTGAGACAGGCGTCGATAAACAGGCGCATTTGTGATGTTTTAAGATAATACTGTTGATAAATGTGAGATCGGCGTTTACTCGGTGCTGCCCAATGTTTGTCTTTGCAGCTAAACATGAATGAATGAATGAAGGAAGGAGGGGGGAAGGAAGAAAGAAAGGAAGGAAGGAATGATATAAGGGCAAATTACTTGGAATGATATTAAGGGAAGAGTATTTTTAAAAAATATAATTTTCATTGGATTTTAATTGGATTTCAGTATAAAAAAGTGATTAGGTATGATTAGACTCACAAAAGTTATATAAATAGTATTATGTTTAAAAAAAAAACAGGTCCTTCCTTCTTCCTTCAGCTGTTGTGGTTTAGCTGAATAGATCTGTGAGCGATAAGTTTGCTAGATTGACAGGTTTAAGACGTGCACACTGGCACACATGCACCTCTAGCCTTCCTTTGGATTATCTCTTAGCTGAGCCATGATACTTGCTTGCAACAGTTTAGACTGAAGACTTTTAGCAGACTGGAAAATGGTGACCTTATTTATTTTGTGTCATCCATCTCACACAAAAAATGTGTCCCTGCCCCTTACAGTTACAACTTGATCTCACTTTTCTTCCCCATGTCCTGTAAAGCAGTTTGAGAAAAAGGAGGGTGTTTAGGGTTGGAGGGTGTAGTGGAAGGAGGGGGACAAAGAAAACAAACTGAACAAATGCTTTGAAATGGAAAATCAGATCATTTCACCTCCCACCTCTTTTGTTTGCCCGTTTATTGCTGCAAAAGCTGGAGTGCAGAGGAGCAGATGTTTAGCCAAACATGAAGGCGCGGTGCCTCTGTCCTTATGGGGATGGCTCTCCCTCCTCTCACTGCTGATGCATCGACATGACAGCTGCTTGATTTCATGGAGCTGCTAAGAAGCCATTAGTGGTATCAGTGAATTGAAACGGAACAGTGTCTCCCAGTTTTCTATCACAACTCTCTTTTGTTGGCATCTTTTTTTTTGGTGCGGATTTGTTTGAATATATGTGTGAGTGTTTGTGCTCCCGTGTACGTACGCGCGCGCGCGTGTGTGTGTGTGTGCGCAAATGCTGCAGCTGAACATACAAACCGACAAGAAGTGGTAATATATTTGTGCAGCGTGTTTTCTCATAATTTGAGAGAGACTGAGCAAGAGCAAAAGTGAAAAAAGGGGAACAAATCTGTCAGAGTTTGTTTGCCATGTTGGTTTGAAATGAAAGCACACTGTGCTACCTCAAGCACACTCAAATCAGAGATGTCTCTCCTTGCCAGGCCAAGGGGAAGAAAAAAAAGTCAACTCGCGGCTGGAGTTTTATTCTTTCTCTGCTTCTCCCTCTCAAATTGGAACTGTTGTTTTTGAAGAGATAAAGGAGGACTTCTGCTTGACTTGAACATTCAGGAATTAAGGATAGACATAGTTAAGCCCTATTTGCATGTCTACCAAAGTCACAGCAAACGGTTGCTATTGACTAAGCTGATTAGGTGAAATTAGGTTCACGAGCTCTATGTCTGGGGGTGCTGAATCTGACAGAACTTGGACAGCTTTTGAGAAGACAATCCCATGTGCACACAAGGCTGAATTCTCTATAATCCCTTGCTATTGAATATGTGGGCTATCTATTTTTTTTCTCTTTTTTGAAGGAAACCCATCCTTGTGTTCTTTTACAGATGAAATGAATTGCGATTTATTAGGTGTGCATGATAGGAATGATCAAGTCATTGGTATGAGGCAGCTCTTGCTTAAAACTTTAATATGAGATAAAAAAAAATACGTCCACTCTATTAGGGATGCTTCCATATATCGGCTGAACACTGAGCCAATCACAGCCTCGTTGACAGATATGAGCCTATCAGCAAATGAGATGACATTTACCAATGGCAGTGGCTGGTCTTTATCTGTTGGGTCACATTAGTGTCATGCTGGTTAATTGGACAAACAGTTCAGCAAGAGGGAGAAATAAAAACAAAATAACAACAAACGCGCACGCATAAACCAGGGTTTTCCTCGGTTACAGACTGTCATTTAAGTCTGACTGGTGTGAATACAGTAAAGGCAAAGGAACAAAAATCAAACACGACTATGAGATATGTTGATAATTTAAATGGTGCCTTATTACAACGGGCAATAATATAAATGGGTTATTATTCATATCATGTATGCTTTTAGATTTTAGTTTAACGGCTTTCCTCCTAAATATGCTGAGCACTAACCTGTTTTGAATGAGAAAAGCTAACACACTATTTTGTTTGTGTTCCTAAAAACTTCTGTGATGAGTGAGTAGAGCTTAGATCTTGTTGTTTAACATGCATTTTGTGTGATTAGAGTAGAATTAACTTTATCACCATGGTGGGAAGCACTGGGACAAAGCGAATGAAATGCAGTGATAATTCAACCCGATGTGCAAAAACATAGTATTATGTGCAGAATGTACAAGTGTATAAAATGAAAGTCTTACAACATGGGTGATGTTATAACTTACAGCATGTACAGTTTCTTAGTGTGTATATCAGGAGTGTATCGTGCAGCTTATGTCAGCTTGGGTTCACACCTTGTATATTTGAATATGCCTCCACATTCGTCCCATGCGACCACTTGTGATCAGGTCTCACTTTAACACTGAACACGTACAGGGACTGAAATGTGTTGCCGTCTCTAATGTACTTCCCTTGAATAATGTGCTGGAATTAATAGAATAAGAAATGCTATACAGTCTAGCTCGATGATGTCTCTAATCTTCCGCTTTCCGACTGGCTGATTGACTCTTTGGCCCAATTGGAAATCAAAGCGTTTTCAATCTAAGAGAATCTATTTTGCCTGATATTGTTGGCGCCTGCTGTTGCACATTTTAATTGGCGCCCAAATAAATACCTGCTTCTGCTTACACCGAGGACATCAGTTAAATAGCTGGTCCTTCAGTGTGACCCAAGGTGCTCTTTTCCTGTGTGGCTCAGACCTTTACTTAGAGCAGTGCACTTCGTATTGGATCACTACAACATCTAGTAATGCCAGGCGTGAATAGGGTTTTAGTTGCAGATTTTGATTTTAACCTCAAATTCTTTTTCCTTGATGTCACTATCATTGGTGATTAACAAAGTAAATCCTTTAATGCAAAATATGAAAAGTGTCCCTGTCCCCTTGGCTGATTGTGCCATCCCAGAGCCTCGTTCACATATGAAGTATTTTGCTCTTTGCACGTTGTAGATGATGGTTGGTTGTAGGTGATGGCTGGGGGCTGGAGCCTTTCCCAGATGTCATAGACTGAAAGGACAGGTCGGCGGTCTGTTGCAGGTCTAACACAGAATTTACCTCCCCGTTATATGTCAGTCAGCTGTTTCACTTGCAGTCGCTTGTAATGCTCGCCTCAAACTTGAGATAAGTTTAACTCAGGGCCCGCCCACTTTGCATCGCTAACGGTCTCTGAATTTCATTGACATTTCATGTTGCCACATCTCTGCCAGTCTCTTCCTGTTTGTACAGCCCTTTAGAAAAGTGGCGTTATGCTTCAAATCAAGACTTAAAATGAATCAAGCAGTGTTTTTTAGGGGTAATGCAGATCCTGACGATAAAAGAAAAAAGAAAAAAAGGGTTATTTGAAATTCTTGCGACTATTTCAATATTGTGCATTCGGTTACTGCGTCTCCCCTCACTGATTACATGATTTTACTCTGGGCTCATGCTTTGTAGTTTCTGTGTGACAAGATATGACAAAGTGGCTGATTTATGCATTCTTTAACCACAACAGCAGGAGGCTGAA